TTTTAAAATTACAAACTGTACCATTTGAGTCTCAAATAATACTAGCTGTATACTTTTCAAATAATTTCCATTAAAATAAGTAAATAAAGCCTGTGAGAGCATTCCTGTTCTTCAGTATAATGGTTTGCCATTCTTCGAAGGACAAGTACATTAAAAGGGTTTTTACATAGTCCCCAAATAAACTTTGAAAGCAGCATAATCAAATGGATAGTCGTTATCTTTCTGACCAGTTCTAAAAATGTTCTGATATTTCAAAGTCAGAAGCAATAAATTAAATCAATATAATCTGATCACAACCTCCAAGTAAATGATTTTTAATAGTATTAACTTTAAAATACAAACACTTTCCTGGATAAAGTTTTTAAAAATAGAACAATATAATAGAACAGAAAGGAACCTGTGTGAGAAAAATAAAAACCTTGTTTCACATGATGAAAATATTTCACACTGAAGTTCACAGAAGGTGAATTTATGCAAATCAAATTCTACTTTTAAAAGATTAAAAACTGGCCGTGGCCAGTTTGGCTCAGCGTTTAGAGCATCGACCTGCGGTCGAGAGAGACCCGGGTTCGGTTCCCGCTAAGGGCATGTACCTTGGTTGTAGTTTGCCCCCGGCCCTGGTTGGGTTGTGTGGGTGGCAGCCACTCCATGTGTCCCTTTCACGTCGATGTTCCTCTCTCTCCCTCCTACTCTATCTGAACAAAAAAATGGAAACATGTCCTCGGGTAAGAATTAAAAAAAAATTTTTTTTAAAAAGATTAAAAACTGAGCTGGCTACTTCAAAGAATTCTAGATTAGTATGCTCAAAGGTAGAAATATATATATATATATTTTTTTTTATCCTCACCCGAGGACATTTTTTTAGTTTTTTTTTTTTTGTTCAGATAAGAGTGGGAGGGAGACAGAGAGAGAGAGAGAGAAACATCGACGTGAAAGGAACACATCGATCGAGTGGTTGCCACCCACACGACCCAACCAGGCCCGTGGACAAACTGCAACTGAGGTACATGCCCTTAGCGGGAACCGAACCCGGGTCTCTCTGGACCACAGGCTAATGCTCTAACCGCTAAGCCAAACTGGCCAGGGCTCAAAGGTAGAAATATTTTGTAAAGGAGTCACATTCTAATTAAGCTTCTGGGTAAAATTTAACTTTAATATGTTGAATTTCCTTCACATGAAATATAAGCACTAGATTTTTTATCCTCACTCGAGGACACTTTTGTGTTTATCTTCAGATAGAGCAGGAAGGAGAGAGGGAGGAAGAGAGAGAAACACTGATGTGTGAGAGACACATCGAGTGGCTGCCACCCACACGACCCCAACAGGAGCTGGGGACAAACTGCAATCGAGGTACATGCACCTTACCGGGAACCGAACCCGGGACTCTCTGGTCCGCAGGCCGATGCTCTGACTGCTGAGCCAAACCGGCCAGGGCTAATCACTAGATTTTAAAGCTTGCCTTTAGTCCATCAGTTTAAAATGTGTGTTATATAAGGCCAAGGTCAATTATCCCTGTTGGGGTTTGTTAATCTTTGCACCCAAGACTCAGGGCAGGGTGAATTTTTCGGTATGTATATCGTATCGCGCGCACACACACAAAATAAAGATGTCAAGAAGACAGACTCAAGACAATGGATACAGCAGGATCCCCTGCAACATAGTACTAAATCCTGTGACAGACTAACAGGAGAATGAAATAATGATCCATTGATTCCAGGAAAGCCCTGGCCGATGTGCTCAGCATCAGCCAGCGCACACCAAAGGGTAGAGGGTTCAATTCCCAGTCAAGGGCAGGTATCTGGATTGCCTGTTCATTCCCCAGCCTGGCTGGGGCGCATGCCGGAGGCGGCCAGTCTGTGTCTCTCTAACATTGATACCACTCCCCACCCCGCCTCCCACTCTCTCTAAAAATCAATGGAAAAATATCCTCAGGTGAGGATTTACAGAAAAAAGTTTCCAGGGAAAAAAAGGGTAAGTGGCCACATTATATCACATTATCAAGTTACATGTCATATAATCAGATTGGTAGATCCAAGTAATTTTATATATCTCTAATAACTTTTAAAGCAGAAAGTTACTAATATAGAAATTGTATTTTAAAGCTACTTGTATAGAGCTCACAATTTGAATTTTAATGAGTCTAAGAAAACATGAAGTATTTTCCACTAATTATTTCCTCCCCCAAATCTGAAAACTAAAAGGAGGAAAAAAAATTTGACCTACAGGTTCCTTTTCAAAAAGGAAGGCTAATAACCTTAAAAAAAAAAAAAAAAGATAATCTGCCTTATATTAAGGAGTTCTGATCAATGTTTACATTTTTAAACAACCTTTGGCCTGGGCTTGGTTAATTTGATATGATGTAGTTTACCATTAGCACTTACTGCATAATCATCCTTTTTATTCCTCACCCAAGAATATTTTTCCATTTATTATCAGATAGAGTGGGAGGAATGGAGAGAGAAAGAGACAGACAGACAGAGAAACATCAATGTGATAGAGCCACATCGACTGGTTGCCTCCTCGCTCAACACAACCAGGACGGGACGAATTACAACCTTGACTCATTGGTCCGTGGGCGAAAGCTCCAATTGCTGAGCCAAACCGGCCAGGGCTACATAATCATCCTTACAGTAGACTATCAGTTCATGTCTCTCAATGACAGAAAAATACATTCACAATACAATCAATACTTTTCTTTTCTGGGTTTGACTTCCACTTCATATCAATTGCCTTTTCGTCCCAATATTTTCCTTTTGTTTACTTCTTAGCCCAAATAGATATTTAAAATCTCAGTAACTGAGAGAGTTCAAAGGACAAATTTTAAATAATAAGATTAGAGGGTTATTTGTAAATTTCAATTATCTATGCTCTCACTGTTTTTGTTTGTTTGTTTGTTTTTGGTAAGTGCCCCTAGCAGGAACCAAACCCAGGACTCTCTGGTCCGAGGGCCAATGTTCCAACTGCTGAGCCAAACCGGCCAGGGCTCTATGCTCTCACACTGTTGCCCTGAAATGAATATTAAACATTCATAATACTATAAGCTTAATGTCATGTTCATGAGAAATTTGAGAATCGTCTTTAGTTATTTAAAACTAGAGATAAGAGATAAAAGAAAAATCTAAATTTTATTCAAAGAAAAATAACTGAACTTAAGGTTAAGGATTCTTTAGCATGAAACTGTTCAGTAAACTTGGAACTAGTCCTTCTTCAAAGCAAAGATGATTTTTCTAGGTATGTAAACAAGGCTGCTTTGTCCCATCATCTCTCCTTAAAGAGTGAGAATATTGCTGCACTGTTCTACCTTCATTCCACAATGTCCACATGCAGTTGGTAAGTAAATGTTTTTAAATTAAATATACTAAGCAATCATCATCAGCTATGCTGTCATTGTATAGCATCAAAGAGCAACTCTTTGAGTTTATGGGTGAAGAAATAAAAGATTATAGAGTGATTACTGTGCTATACGACTCCTCTTGTGTTAACAATAAATGTGACTGGAATACCAATGACACTCTGGATTCTCCACTACTTAAAGAAACCTTCAAGTTTACATGCAGGTATTCTGAATTAGACACTGTCTTAAAAATAAAATCAATATAAACACAATCCATGCATTTCTGGGGAATAAAAGCAATATGAACACATGCAGAGCATTTCCAGGTAGATTCTTCAACATTTATAACATGCTTGCCTATAACAATGTAGAAAAGAGTTTTAATTCTTTAAATTCTGCAAGATTTGTGAATTACTCAATACCTTCACTGAATTTTAAATACTATGAAAACACCATAAAGGGAAAAAAAGAATGAGGCCAATCATCGCTGTTTTCTACTTGTGTAATAATGAATAAAGAATCGAAAAGTAGCTATACAGAGAGACCAGTAAACTTGATACGCAAGCAGATAGTTCAGTTTCACTATCAATGTCTTTAGAACCTTAATCTTTCCCACAAGATCAACACTGCAAATACGAAAGTGCAGTTGGTAGGTGAGAAGGCTACACCCACTAGCATGCCTAAACACTTACTAGATCTTTCTCTCTTTCTCTTTTTTTTTTTTGAATGACTACCAACACACCTCTTGAAACACTGTTCCACCGATTTCCTGCTCATTTTGGAAGAAATAAAAAAGCTGGGCATCGAGGGAACCTGACACAGGCACAGAGAAAACTGCCAAAATGCCTGGGGCGGTGTGGCACATTTTTACTCTCCAGTCTAGAAGTCCCATAGGTAAGAAGGCTATCGTGAAAGCGGCAGTTTCTAATACAAATGTTTTGACTCCAAAGGCAGGTCTCATTCCTCTACCCGAAATAAAGGTGTGAACATTAGCTGTACTTAGTAAACTGTTAACAGCTGAGCAATAACCACACCTGCACTGTTCCCCAGGACTGCTACGACGGGACCTGTAAAAGGAGCTTTACCATTTTACACGTTTGGTAGAGACACAAATGTGAAATATCATCCTTCCCAACCAAGGTGTATCATATGCCTTGATGTCTTTGGAAAAAAGCAACATAAAAACGAAGACCTGACCTCTCGTTGTCACCATCCCAAAGAATCGTCTCTTTAGTTACTTCAAATCACAGTAATGGCAGTGTTTGGAGGGGAGAAAGGTGGCCACAGCAGTAAACATAAACACACACAGCCAACGTGGACAGACGAAAGGAGAAATAGGTTAGTCTAGGAAAGATCGCAACCCAGTGGGGCTGGCTGCAGGTCGCACGGGGAGGCCAGGCAATCGGCCCACATTCCGCCGCTCTCCAGGCACGCTCCGGAGGCGCGGCCCCCGCGACCCGGGCAACCCCGCCAGCCGCGTCCTTCCCCGGCCGCCCGGGACCGAGGGAGGGAGGGAGGGAGGGAAGGCAAGAAAGGGACGACGAACTCCATCCCCCATCACACGGGAGCCGCCCCAGGACTTGCAGGAAGGTGCGCAAGGTGGGCAGCCCCGCCGCGCCGCCACCCCGACTCCCCCGTCCGCCCCGAGCGCCCCTCGGGCACTCACCCCACTTCTCCGAGCCTCAGGCCGCACCCCTAGTGAGGCCGCTGGTGCTCCGGCTTAGGAACCAACTTCTCCATAGTGGGGTGCGGCACACCAGGAGAAGCGGGGGGCTGCGGTGGAAAAGAGAGCTGGCGCCGCGCTCTTTCCGCCGCGGCTTCACCAAACCCCCGCGGAGCTGACACATCAACAAAGATGGCGGCGATGCTGAAGCCGGCTCTGCTACAGCTGAAGGGGCGGGGCTCCCTGGAAGAGCCAATCAGCGCGGTGCGTCCGGTATGACGCGACGCACCTTGGGGCCAATGTAAACTGTCTGCAGTGAGCGGGGCGGGCGCAGCGCCGCCTCCTGTCCCAGAGCGGCAAGCCTGGCTAGCTGCACCCATGCCTGGGCGGAGCTGGCTCTGCTGTAGATACTCCTGTCCTACCTTCACGCCTCTCCGGACCCAAGCGAATTACTTCTTTCTATAGGACGTGCTCATTGGCTATAATCGTCCTCATTTTTGGCCCGTCCTCTATTAGTCAGGAGCATAAAGCAATAAAAGAGATGTCGAAATTATGACTTCCCTGCTCTGATGCGCAGACCTTGCACCTGACGTGGGCCGGGTCAGCAGGAGTAGCCTACCTGCCCTTCTGACAGTTCATCCTTGGGAAAGACTGGGGGTTTTCATAACACCGCGTTCCTGTCCACAGCCTGGCACCTTCTGCCATTGTTTGGTAATAAACTGTGGGTGCGTTCGTGTCTGGCATCCGACTGTAAGAAGCTTGGGCGCGGGGCGTGTCTTGCCCGGCCTGGGCATCCCAGAGAGCAGCATGGGTTTCGACACAGGAGCTTCTCAATAATTAGCAACGAAACGTGTATTGTGGTGGGGTGAGGGTATATTAAACACAGTGGCTTAACTGGGTCTGAAGAAGTCATCTGAGCAGTTCCAGCCTGTGGAGATTTTGCAAACCTACCCTGTCCAGTGAAGTAATATTCTTTTGGTTTAGAGCTTCTTACACACAACTCCAGTGAAAATAGTTAATTCTGACAGTGGTCAATGCCAGTGTTTGTAAAGCAAAACTGTTAGACATAGGACAAAGGTCTCAAGGTCTGGGCAGTTCTAAATGTTATTTTTTACTAAATGTTAAGATGTAGCACAGTATTTTGTAGATGCAGCTGTAAACAGGATGAGCTGACAGGAACCCAACTGGATAAAAGTAGCTAACTGCAAAGAAGAAATCAACATATGGTTGATGAAATGTGTAAGTATGTAAGCAATGGCTAAGCCTCCCTTTGGAGACAGACACTTCGGATGTGAATCCCCTGTCTCTTTTACTTGTTGCAGGTAAATAAAACTACCTTGTGACAGTTGTCTCGTTTTTTGAATAGATTATACCAAGCAGTGAACCCTTTGAATTAAGTATCAAAACTTGCTACCATTCTGTTAAGCTTTATTATTAACTGCTGGCAAAAGAAAGAGAGGGAGGGAGAGAGAGAAAAAGAAATCACCTTTAAAAAAAAAGTTGGGTAACTCTCTTCCTCTTTCCTTTTAAACAGGAAATGACACCTCTCTCCTTAAGTGAAGATACTGCAAGAAAACACTTTTGTAGTTGAAGTGTCTGTGACAGTAGAGAAATGATTTGAATTTAAAACAATGAATTGACCAAATATTCCTAATGAGACATTAAAAAAATTTTTTTTCTCTATTCATATGAGAAAGAGAGAGAGAGGAAAGGAGAGAGAGAGACAGAAACATGGATGAGAGAGAACATTGATTGGCTGCCTCCTGCATGCCCCCCACAGGGGATTGGGGGCACAACCCTGGCATGTGCCCTGACTGGGAATCAACTGGGACCTCTGGGTGCATGGGTCAATGCTCAACCACTGAGCCACACCAGCCAAGCCCTAGTGAAATATAGTATTGAATCTTTTTACGGTGCTCATATTGTCAGTACTAACATTCATTTTTTATTTCTGAAACATATATTAGTATACAGCATGTAAGTAATTATGTCTTACAGGACCCAAGATTTTCAATATTGAAGAAACAATACAAAAATAAAATTGGATTAAGTAAAAACTATGCAGTTCTAAATTTGAATTTAGAAATATCCATATGAACTCATGGGGTTTTTTGTGTTTTGTTTTGTTTTGTTTTTTGTCATTGAAAATGAAACATCTATATACTGAGAAGGCCAAGAACAATGATCAATCCAATGCACACTCCTATTCTCTGAATATAATTTCCCACAAAAAGTCACCTGGGCTCCTGTTGGAGATCAAGTGCTGATTCTAAATCTGGGGCAAGAAATCTACAAGCCTAGATCATGATAGTTATACCAGAAAACAAAGAAGAAAGCAAAGATAACAGGATTTGGATTAAAACAAGGAAAAAAGAAAAACCTCAGGAGGCAAAGATAGGACAACTTTAGCATTCGAAAGTAATAACAAAGGCAACTGATTGAGACACATCTGGGTAGCTCAGTTAGTTAGAGAATCATCTGGATACAGCAAGATTGTGGGGGTTTGATCCCCAGTCAGGGCACATACAAGAATCAACTAATGAATGCATAAATAAGTATGGAACAACAAATTGATGTTTCTCTCTCTCTTTCTCTAATAACAATCAATAAACAGAGTGTGATGATTTTTAAAAACATCATTGGTCACCTTTGGAGGATGTCAAGAAATCATTACATTCTGAAAACAAAAGAATCAAGCATCCCACCTTTCCTGTTACAAACTGAATCTTAATCAAATAGTTGATGTGGTAAAGATTTCTAGGTAATAAATGCAGAAAATAGACTATCACCATTTTGCAAATCCTGATGAAATAATGGATGTAGGTAATGATCTGTAGCTAGTGTAGAATCACTAGATGAAAAGCTGATAGAAAACTTTATAATGGATGGATAGGGCTGACAACATTTGAACTTGCTAGAACTATTTTAATATCCCCCAAAGAGAACAACTAGATATTAAGTGTCTTCTGATATGATGCAATAGAGCAGCGATTTTTCAACTGGAGTGCCACAAGAATTTTTAAAACATGCAATACCTGACTAGTCAGGGGCACCGACCTCTTTTCTTTCAGACTATGAAATTAAAAAAAGGAAAAGACAACTGTCAACACAACAATAGCCGTCCAGTGTGAATTAATCAAAAGTATACCTATTTTTTGTCAAATGAGCAATATATATGTGTGTGTGTTTGTGTATATATATATATATATATATATATATATATATATATATATATATCTTTGGCTTGGTGCAGAATTTTAGTAGTTTGTGTGCCATGAGATGAAAAAGGTTGAAAATTGCTGTAATAGAGGATCACAACCCGACCTGTGAAGTATTCTTGCTAAGGGGATGCAATCAACAAAAATCCAATGATAGAAAAACTGCAGTTACTTCAATATTTATATAATTTGCAAGAAATAAAAAGATTAAAAGGAATTTCTTTTTAAAATATATAGGATCTTGTTTGGAGTCCCATTTTAACATACCAACTATTAAAAATCATTTGAGACCATCCAAAAATTTTAAATAACAATTGTATGATATTAAGAAATTATTGGCCCTGCCCGGTTTGGCTCAGCGGTTGGAGCGTCAGCCTGCGGACCAGAGAGTCCCGGGATCGGTTCCCACTCGGGGCACGTACCTAGCAAAAAAGAAAAAAAAAAAGAAAGTAAAAGACTGTCACCAGTCATAAAAAAAGAAATTATTTTTAGCCCTGGCCAGTTTGGCTCAGTGGTTGGGTGTTGTCCTGCGGACCAGAGAGTCCCAGGTTCGGTGTCCGCTAGGGGCACGTACCACACACACACAAAAAAAGAAATTGTTTTTAGCCCTGGCCAGTTTGGCTCAGCAGTTAGAGTGTCAGCCTGTGGTCCAGAGAGACCCAGGTTCGGTTCCTGCTAAGGGCATGTGCTTCGGTTGCAGTTTGTCCCCAACCCTGGTTTGGTTGTGCGGGTGGCAGCCACTTGATGTGTCCCTTTCACGTCGATGTTTCTCTCTCTCTCTCTCTCTCTCTCTCTCTCTCTCTCTCCCTCCCGCTCTGTCTGAATAAAAAATGGGAAGATGTCCTCCAGTGAGGATAAAAAAAAAAAATTATTTTTAGCCCTGGCCGGTTTGGCTCAGCCCTTAGAGCGGCGGCCTGTGGTCCAGAGAGACCCGGGTTCGGTTCCCACTAAGGGCATGTACCTCAGTTGCAGTTTGTCCCCGGCCCTGGTTGGGTTGTGCAGGTGGCAGTCACTCGATGTGTACCTTTCACATTGATGTTTCTCTCTCTTTCTCTTTCACTTTCTCCCTCCTGCTCTATCTGAAAAAAAAAAAAAAAAAATGAAAAAATGTCCTCGGGTGAGGATAAAAAAAAAAAAAATTATTTTTTAAAGTGAGGTAAATTTTGGTGATGTTTTATAAAAGTCACAATCTTTTTGTTTTTGATACGTGCCCCTAGCGGGAACCGAACCCGGGACTCTCTGGTCCTCAGGCCGATGCTCCAACCGCTGAGCAAAACCAGCCAGGACAAAAGTCATAATTTTTTAAGTACAGATATTTAAATATGTGTGGATGAAAACATACACTGTCTGAGAGAGTAAAAAAGTGCTCAAAAAATAAAATAAAAGCAACCCACATTGATGGAAGTATGCCAAAAAAGAACAAGAGTCAACTGAATCCAGCCGGTGTGGCTCAGTTGTTGAGCATCGACCCATGTACCAAGACATCACCGGTTTGATTCCCCATCAGGGCAAATGCCCAGGTTGTAGGCCCAATCCCCAATGAGGGGCATGCAGGAGGTGGCCAGTTGATGTATCTCTCTCTCTCTCTCTCCCTCTTCTTTCCTTTCTCTCTAAAATCAATAAAGGAAAAAAAATCTTTTTTTAAAAAAAGAGTCAACTGAAAGAGCTCCCAGTGGCGAAAGTTGAAAAAAATTAAATAACTGTGTTGGATTATAACTCAAAGTATAAAACAAATGTCATACTAATACATCGAGAGACAGATGATTATGTTAATAAGTAGAGAGACAAATCTCCATGCAAAAAAAATTCCAGGTGAGTTCTGTAGGTACTCTGCCCTTCAGAAGTGGAAGTATAACTCCTTACCCTTGGATGTAGACTACACATAGTGACTTCCTTCTAAAGTGTATAGTATGGAAAAGGAGGGAAAAAGAAAAACTTTGTAGTAGAGAAACCTAACACACTCTT